ATTGCTTCGAGACCAGCGTTCCTCCATCGCATCAGCACAGGCTTGCTAGAAGCTCCTTTCCCAGGGTTTTCGCGGGTCGAGGCAAGCGAAGCGTATGTGCGGACGATCGATTCGTATTGAGCGAGATAAGCCTGGTCTGCGAAGGAGGAAGAGGCATCGTGGTTTTCGCAAAAGGCCTCAAAGGTAGGAATAGAGGATTCGACCATGGTGATGTCCTTGGATCCGAGGATGAGGTCGAGAATTTTGAGCACATTGGGAGCTACAAGTGGCAGATCCTTGGGGGCCTTTTCGATCAGTGCCGTAAGGATTCGAAGGGTGACTTGCACATTTCTGAAAGACGTTTGGTAAGCAAGGCGATCTCTCGATAGCTAGAGGGGTTCACAAACCCGATGCGCTGCCGCCAGACATCGCTTGCCGTCTTCTTCTCCAAGAAGGCGCCAATTTTCTGGATCTTGGAACGGCGGGAGGTAGCGTAGAACAGCAGATAGCTCAGCTCGCTAGAATTCGGCTTGACATCAACAGCGCCCTTGTTGGTCCTTGGGTAACACTTGAGGACCAGCACTTGGTGCTTCGGTCGACATTTTTGCTGGATCGCGTTCATGGCGCCGGGGTTATCGGGGCCCGATGAGCGAGGGGAGTCGGAGGACTACCTGTTGGCGGGTAGTAGATGATGGGAACAAAAAAGCATCGAGGTTGGAGAAAGGAAGTGAAAGGCGTCGCGTCAGGTTTGGAAAATTAGTCGCCGTCTTCGTCGGTTTGAATCGCGAAAAGCAAGGAAGGAGTGAGGCATTGGACAAAGTCAAAAAAGAAAGGGAGCAGGCGTAACGGAGAAGCCAGCGAGCAATAATTTGGGTGTGGCAGACAAGAGACCCGACAGAAACAGATTCCAGTCAAGGCCCGGCCAGGCCAAGCCAGCACGGGGGGCTTCGACGGGGGGGGGGTAAGCGTGGACGTGCTCCGTCAGGTACCTTTACTGCGAGGGTCCATGGAGATGGGTACCTTACCATGTGTGTACCGCACAATCAACCCTGTAAATGGATAAAGCTGGGCCTGTGAGAATCTTGTACTTTTCCAGGCTGGGTTACTGTGTAGGTTTGCCCACCAACCTCTCCCAGCTCCTCTCTTGGGCTGGCTCTACTTCTACTATTCCTACTACTATCATCGTTACTTACTTTACTATTGTTATCATTATTATTTTTTCGTACTGCACTTTTGTAAGCATATACTACATGGAGTATACTCGAAATAGAAAGTAGTGAAAGTAATAGTAGTAGTAGAAATGGCAGTAGCGATAATGATAGTAGTCGGAATAGTAGAAATAGAGCCAAGGTACTTTATGTTGAGCGGCAAACTATTGTGTCACCCACTTGGCTGGCTCGAGGAGTGGTACAACTGCGACGGGACTTGATCGTTGTGAAATGGGCCGAAATTGCTGTCTGCACCGCACCACCTCTCACTTCATTACCAACCTGCTGCGGACTGCATCGTCGTCATCATTTTTTACCCAATTATCCATCCATCCGGCCTTCGCCATGTGGCCTCATGACCCATCCCGAGAACGAGGGCAATGGTATCCGTACTCGATGAGATACCAGTGTCACAGCCTCTGGTTGAGTGGTCAAATTCGAAAACGAGTAGAACGTAGTTTCTTCTCGCTGGAAATACGTACAAGTCGAGATAACATCAAAATTGAGCAATCTGCTGGGATTGCCAGACACACGTGGGAGAGGAAAATGCGATGGAAGATGAGATTACAAACCCAAGAGGGACAAGTTCCTGTGTGAATGGGGAAATGGCAATCTCGGGGGAACCGCCCCAGGTCCGCCAGACCGGCTCTCAGCGGGATACGCGTTTGCTGTTTGCTTGGTGCGATTCGCAAGCGTGAGGTGGTTGGGATTCTCACCTATCCGTAAGATATATTCGTACGCCGCCTGGCCTGAGCTCTCGAGTCCCCCTGCAGCCCTGTGGTGAAGGAGGGGCGAAAGGGGCTTGTATCGATTTTATACAGTATCTATGTACCCAAAAGCTCGACGGCACCTCAATACATGTGATACTATTAAACGTCTACTGAGGAATGGTCGATTGTTGCCGCGTTAGTCCACCCAGGTATGAAAGCATGCTTCTCATCAAATTCAAAGACACGAGGAAAATCTATCATCAAAGACACAACAAATGCCGTCCGGCACTGACACGATTGTTCAAGCTTTATTTACCTTCCCACAATGCGCCAACGCAACCTAGACGCGGGACATGTGCATCTCACGAATGCAAGCCCTGTACGGATATTTGAGTTGAACAGCAACGAAGCCGCCGTCAAGCGAGGCATTCGCAGATGAAAGAAGCCAGCGTGGTACCTTGATTGTTTCTTCACCTTCATGCAGACGCACTTGTCATTGGACGCATGTTTCACAGACCATCCATCCCCCAAGTGCCTTGATGCCCTATCCGTACCCTGGTATATACCGAGACCTGCGGCGGGCGAACTCACGATGCAGCAGCTCCCAGACACTGACTGACTGGGCCAAAACCAAACAGCGATCTCCCCCGTCTATTTTGGTCTTTTTTGCGTCGTTTTGGAAGACGGGGGAATGCGGTCCGGTCCACCCAGGGTGTCTTTGCGGTGTTTGGGACGGACAGGTGCCTGGCCCCTCGGAGACTTCCAACAAGGTGCTCGGACACTTGCACACAGGCCCCCATCATGCCCGCCTATCTGCACCTCTGGGAAACCTGGAAACCTTGTCTAGCTGACTTCAGGCAAGGCGAGAAATCGACAGCAGTGCTACCCAGCTCCCATGAGTCGAAAATCGAGCGTCGAAACTTGTGAAGATTTCTTCATGTGCTCGATCGTCTGGGCCCGAGTGAGGAGTACCTAGTAACTGGGTGGAAGAAACAGAGATATGTGGAAGAAGGTCAAAATTCGCCGGTTCAAAGATCCGTACATTTCGCGTCATTTCCTTCTGACGGCCTTACCTAACAAATACGTACCCATCTTCTCCTTCGTTCTTTCCAACTTGCATCTGCACCTGCACCTCCCTCGCCTTACCTTTTCGACCCATCCAGCTCGGTCGTCACCGCCGCCGTCCCATCCGTCTGATGTCGTCAGCACTGCACGCCTTCTAGCTTTCCTGCATGCTCAGGTCCACCGTCGTTCAATCTGTCCATGTGGGACATCTTGACTCCGATTTCATCCTCACGCCCGACCTCACGATTGAAACCTGCCCAAGGGGCGGTGCCTTGTCAGTAGTCGCCTCACAGGCTCACGTCAACCTTCGCTCCTCAGCCGGAATGCACGCTCTCGCTTCTACGCTTCCAACAAATCTTTTCCAGAAAATCTCTATGCATTTGCCAGCTCAGCAAAGAAAAGCCTCCACCTTGGATCCAGATTCACGAACCGCCTGGGAATGGCATCCTCCAACCAGTCGCATAGAAAGTGGGAATAGTTCCCCATATCCAGTTCGCCCGTGGACAGCCCGCCGCCTACACCCTTTGGGCTGTCACTTGCATGTAGGTAGGTGCCAACGCTGACCTAATAGGACAGGCTGTCAAGCAGAATGACGGATTCTTCAAGCTGGTCCAAGAATCCCGAGGCGGCCCATCCTATGACCGGCATCACCTGCAGTATGGCATGGGACCCTCCGGCCCTTCGTGAATATCTCACCAAGAACATTGACCCTGGACGCAGATGAGTATCACTGGTGCCTGGAGCCCTGCCGCAGCGTCACAGACCGTACTGGCACCATTCGCAAGCACTTGAACAGCTACATGTTCCAGGACGTGTCGAGCGAAGAGAAGTACACAATGGGATAAGTATCCAATCTTTCGCAGCGCCCTTGGTGTCGTTGGGCGTCAGAGTCGGGGTTCATAAGCATTCATCTCTTTCAGTATCCGCACCCACAGACATTGGCAGAATCGAGGGGGGTCGTCTGTCGCATACGTCAAACAAGTGTTTGGATACGACGTCACACCTGTCAAGAGAGACGTGGCAATGTCTCACATTTCCAGAGAGCGCGCTCTCCGTGCCTTTGACCGAATTCCTGCGACTAAGGAAGGATTGCGATCATTCCTTCAAGCAAATATTCAACTACCGTAACATCATCATGGTCGCAATTTTGAATCCAAGTCTACCAATGGTCTCGCGAGTCGTTGGCCAGAACCTCACGTGGAAGTCCACATGGGAAGAAAACCTAGGCCCCAGGAGAGAGGTCGCATGCAGCAAGCAAGCTGGTCCATTGCCCGTTTTCTTTGTGTAAATCTAGCCAGCTGGAGTAAGCCAGGGTGGAGATTGAAGGACATCCAGAAACTTGGCCACGCGTGCTGAGGTACCGGCCATGGAATCTAGCCAAGGAACCGGAAGTCGGGATGGAGATGTTGGTGTTGAGATATTGGTGTTGAGCCTACCGCAAGCAGAAGGCTGTAGTAGGGGACGGCAGATGGAGGAGAGACATGTTCCTCTTTATGAGGTCGTCTTCTTTGAGCCCCAACCAACGCCAACGCCAGCTAGCACGCGTGCATACAGCAAGACTCAAGACACTCAAGACTCTCATGGGAGCCTTTACTTCTCTTGCGCTCCGTCCTCGAATGGCTCTGCTACGGATACCTCAAGTTAGTACTCAAAAGTCGAATCCACCAACTCATCCCCAGAAGCGACCACGACCTGGACCGGGACCGGGACCCACCAAGGTCAAGCCGGAGCTGCTCTGCCTTACACCAACGACCTAGAAGCTGGAGATTCCGTGTGGCTTTTTTCCCCCACACCTTACCTTCCTCACCTTACACCCACTTCCTTCCTTCTTTTTATCCGCTGGGTATCCCCAATCCACGGAGCCTCACCTCTTTTTACCCCTTCTTCAAGGTTCTCTTCAGCTTCAACAATCCTTTTTTTCGGGACCTTCCCACCTTTACCTTCTTTACCCTTTCTTCTTCAGTATCTCATCGCTGGGTTTATTGTATCTCATTCAAGCCTAACACTACCACAACGAGAGCACCAAAAGCTGCTCAAGATGAAGTCTGAAATCTTCATCGCCTTCACTGCCGCTGGCGCGGCTGTGAACTCCGTCACGGCCTTGTCCTTCCCTCGCGCCGCTGAGGGCCAGGGATTCATCGCCATGCCAGTCAGACAGGTTAGACCCGACTACAGTCACCTGAGCAAGCGAGAGGCCATCGAGGTCACCCTCAAGAATCAGCAGTTTTACTACTCGACTGACAGTAAGTATTTTTTTTTACTGCTACTTCTTACTCCTTTGAGAGAACTGACATAAAAAAAAAGTCTCGATCGGCACTCCTGCCCAGCAGGTCACTATCCTGCTCGATACCGGCTCCTCTGAGCTCTGGGTCAACCCGGACTGTTCCACCGCTCCTTCTGCCGCCCAGGCCAAGGAGTGCAGCAGCGCTGGCATGTACAACCCGTCCAAGAGTCGCACTCCGGTCGTTGGCCCCATTGGAGCTCGAAGACTCTTCTACGGAGACGCTTCGGACCCCAACACTCAGACTAGCGCCGAGATCGCTTACTACGTTGACACCATCACTATGGGCGCTGGTGCCATTGTCAACCAGACCTTTGGCGTTGTCACCAAGAGCGATGGTATCTCTACCGGCATCATGGGCCTGGCTCCCGATCTCAAGGCTGGCTACGAAAAGGGCAAGCCCTACAGTCTGATCCTCAACACCTTGGCTGATCAGGACGTCATCGGTAGCCGTGCCTTTTCGCTTGATCTCCGTCACGCTACTTCTGACTCTGGAGCGCTCATCTACGGCGGTCTCGACAAGGGCAAGTTCATCGGAGAGCTTCTGCAGGTCCCCATGGTTAATGGCATGAAAGGCGAGCCTCGGTAAGTGAAGGCCTCTGGCTCCTGTCTTGTTGATTGAAAATACAACCGAGCCCTCATACTGACTTACAACTCCAGTCTCGCAGCTGAGCTTTCCTCTGTCGGTATGACTCTGCCCAACCAACCTACCAAGTTTTACGACATCAGCGCGGCCGACACGAACGTTATGCTCGATTCGGGTACTACTCTGACGCGCCTTCATCCTGCCCTCGCGCGTCCCATCCTCGCGGACCTCAAGGCAGTGAGCGACAACAACGGTTACTGGATCGCCGACTGCTCCTATCGCACCCCGAGCCTCGCCAACGGCGGCAGCGACTCCTACATGAGCTTCACCTTTGGCAAGAAGACGATCCGCGTGCCCTTCAGCGACTTCATGCTCGACATGGGCCCCTCTGATGGCCAGTGCTACGTCGGTCTCGTCGTCACCACCGACCAGCAGATCCTCGGCGACAGCATGATGCAGGCCGGCTACTTCGTCTTCGACTGGGACAACAAGGCGATCCACATGGCTCAGGCCGCTAACTGCGGCAAGGAGGAGATCATCGCCATCACCAACGGCGAGAACGCCGTCCCCAGCGGCATCGTTGGACTCTGCAACGGACCCGCCACCCCGGACGGCAGCGTCGCGCCCGCGCCTGGTGCAGTGAGTTCTGCAGCTCCTTCTTCTTCTGCTACTACCACTTCCCCGTGGCTGTTCCCCGACGCGCCGACTGGCTCGACTTACACAAACCCCCCCATTCCGACCCCGATGATTTTGACTCTCTCTGATTACGACTCATTGACGTCCTCCATTCAGTCGTCCCCCTCCGCGACCGGTAACACGATGCCCGCTTCATCCCCTACCTCCACTGCGGCCACTGGCAGCGGTGGCTCCCCGACGACTACTGGCACGACGACCGCTGCCTCGACCGCGAACGAGCCTTCTTCATCGAGCTCTTCCGATTCTCACAATGCCGCCTCGTCCCTTTTGGGCAGCGACCAGGTCTTCATGGGCTTGTTCATGAGCATCTTGGCCATCTTGGTCACCGCGGCTGCGTTCTAAGTCTGGCTTTGAATGATTTTGGGAACACAACAGGAAAAGGCTAAGGATACGATACCCCCTTTGCTCAGGTTTCAGGTTTCGGGAGGCATTCTTTGGGGAGTTTTCATTACTACTTTTGCATTCACAAGAACGGCATGGAATATTCTGGGAGGGGGAGGAATTAATGGAAACCTCTTTCTCTTCTTGTTCTGTCTCATCTGTCACGGACGAGACATACACACAGAGAGAGTGAGAGAGAGGTATGACTTTTCCCTAGCTAGCTGGCCAAGAGCTTTGAAAAAACAGACGGAAGGGATTTTCAAAGCCGGGGGTTTGGGCTGGAGTCTAGCTAGGACGTTACTGATGACCCGTTACGATACCAATGACGAAAGGCCTTGTTTTTTCTTTCGGTTTTTTCTTCTTCTCATTGGGAGGAGATGTACGACCAAAGAAAAACGGAAGGGACCTAAACTTTTTCCAATTCAAAAAAGTTTCACAACCACCTACTCCTTGCCTGTCCCCCCAATTGTTTTCTTGCTAGACTGTGACCTGCGACTGGGGAGTGGTAACACAAAAACGTACATATTTCATCACACCAGCCTCTGCTTGTCTGTGTTCAGTCAATTTCTTGTGACGAGCCTTCACCCAGAGAAAAGCACTAGAAACCGGGGGCGTTGGCCGAACTACTATGTAGCCGAATAGAACTGCGTCGGGACTAACTCCGGGAAACGCCGTTGACCTCAGAATGTCCTAACCCCCAACCTCTACTCGCTCTCTGTCTGCTCTGCTCTGCTCTGACGTAGCGGTCTCTAATGTTTCCTCTGTCAAGGTGTGCCTACCTCAAGTGCCAAGCTAATTGAGTATCCCGGTTCTAGAACCCCCTCCGGTTGTAGGACCGCAACCCGGTGAGACATCCATCCCAGACCACATCCGGCTCTTCTCATTGCTTATGCGCCGTTCCGGGACCCGAAGATGTGGATGACAAGCATGGCAAGCTATCCAAGCACGCAAGTTGAGGTAAGCCATAATTTAGAGGGAAGAAACCCCGAAAGCAGAATACACCGTCCGTCAAATGTCTCACTCCCCATTACGGGGGAAGTGCCAGCAGCACGTAAGGCCGAGCAATCAAATCCAGGGCTCAGTTCTCGCTCCCTCTACCGTCTCCTTCCCTATTCTCCGCCGGTGGCACCCTTTTCTCAATCCTAGTTGCAGAAAAAAAGGCGTTTGTGCGAGTTCAAAAGTAATTCAACCCCGAACGCCCCCAAAATTCCCGAGATGCTGGACGGTGGAAGCCCTTCTCATTCGTCAATCCCCGAGTCGAGACACGTGTCTCAATCCCGGGGGGGAGAGAGCTTACCACCTTTCTTGGCTTGTCAGCCTCGCACGCAGCTTGAAGCCAAAAACCCCATCGAGATCCGTTACGAAAGTGCGAACTTGCTTTCGGCGAGTACGCCGCGACTTCGCAGACGGTCTTCAAAAGACTTCACATCAGGATGGTAAACAACATGTGACTGTAAACTGGGGAAAATTTCCACTACGGACTAAGTAACTGCGCTATGTGCAAACGATCAATGCCAAATCATCAAGACTGCCGAAACAGTCGCGCGGTTCCCAAATCACCCTTGAGTAAAAAGCAAAAGTATCCCTCCGATATCTCTCCAGCCTCGCCGTCGCTGGAAGCTTCACGGTCTCTTCCTGAAGCCGGGAAACCATGAAGCATTGAAAATTGAAATGAGAAAAAAGCAAAAACGATCGCGCCTCCAGTCTCCCAAACAAACTCTCAGAAATCAGCAGGTTCCGCAAAAGAACACCATGAATCTAATTCTATGCTTCAGTATCATCGCCTTGGATGATAGAAAAGCGCAAAGTTGAAAAAGTGCTGTTGTCCGTCTGGATGGATTGCTGTAAATGGCTAGGCTCTGGTTCTGCGCTTCTTGGCAGCGCGAGTGCAAGGAGCCTCACTGTAGGAATCGTCGCTATCAGCTACAGAGCGCTTTGTGGTGCGCGAGCGTGTGGTGCGGCGCTTGGGAATATCGCTCTTTTCTGCACGGTTCTTGGCTCCAGACGAGGTGGTGGCGGGAGCAGCTGCGGTCACGGCTCTGCCACCTGCGACGGTCTTGTTCTTGTTCTTGTTCTTGCTTCTGACCACACAAGTTCGGGCCTCAGCCGGTTGCTTGAGATCCGCAGTCAAGCAGATTCTGCAAAACTTTATCTGGATCTCGTTGCTGTCGTCGGGCTTGGGGTAATCCCAGACCTGTGATACCGACGGAATGGTGCTCTTCTCGATAGCATCATCTCGGGCTTGAGGGGTGAATCCCGGGTGCGTGAGGTCGATGTTTCTACAAGTCAGAGCGAAACGACGCTTTCCCTTAGGGTCGACCTTGTGCTACTGTAATGTTAGCACCTGTGCTCAAAGTAATCTCAGACGCACTTACCAGATATTTCTCATGAATACGGGAGCCATGCATGACCACGATGTCACCATGGTACAGAGGGAACTTGAGAACCACCGGCCGGTACTCCTCATCTTTCTTCGTCTTCTTCGCATTCTTCACATTCTTTGTCTTCTTGGCAAAGAACATGATAGCCGGGCTTCCCAAAGAAAGTGTGGCTACCGTAGGGCCTAGGGTATCTTCGCCATCATCGTGAAACTGTAAAAGTCAGCTTTGAGTTCACAAAGATTTCAGAGAGATACTAACGCCAATCTTGTCTTCCTCCATGTAACCGATTGACAACAGCTCATTGAAGTTGGTGAAGTCGGCAGTGATAGACGGGTCTCGAGTCAGCTCAGTGTGTTGAGCACGGCGGTCAACAGCTCCCAGGACTTCGTTCGACATCTCAATCGATACTCGACCAGCCCACTCCATCCGCTTAAGGGCTCCGATGAATGCCTCAGGGGCCTCTGAGAATGGCTTGGAGTCCACAGCGACAACGAACTTGTAAGGGGCACCCCAGTTCTGGAGGAAGTTTCTCGTCAACTTCTCTGTGGGTACTACAACATGTTAGCGATGAGCTTTGTGGAAGAGCTTTGAGTGAAAACTCACATCCGGCATGAACCACGGAGTTTCTGGATAGATCGAAGGTTTCAACAGACTCGTTAGAGATCTTCCACATCTCATCAGGACCGCCAGGCTGGGCATTGATCTCCTGGTTCGTGCGGATGATGCTGACCGAGCCAACGATTTTACTGGAGTCGTTGGGATCCGGAAGAAGGAACTGTTCAACGGGACAGCCATTGACCTGGGCATGGTGCTGCACAATTCCCGCATCGAAGAGTCTAGACCCTTGGTTCGGGATCCTCTTGACACGAGCCTCCTCTTGGAGGACATCCTGCAGAGGGAATGCAGCCGGCTTAGCCATCAAGACAAAGCTGCACACTGGGTTCTCATAGGCCCAGTGTGTCCAGTCAATCCGTCTCGAGCAGCCGTGGCACTGAGGACAGACAATGCCCTTCCGCATCTCACTTTCAGTGCCCAGACATCCTTCCATGGATGGAAGGTCAGGTTGAAGAGGCTGCTCGGGGAGTTGGAATGAAGTTCTCTCCTGAAGAAAGCTCTCTGAGTAGTCTAGGCAAGCAACATCCACACCAGCTGGGAACGTGAAGAACTTCTTGCACTTGCGGTTGAGACAGGTCCATCCGGCAGAGAAGACTGTCTTGCAGTACTGGTGGCAGTCGATGCACCAAGCAAGGGTTGCGGAACAGTGAGAAGCGGCTGCAAGTTCCATGATGTCAATGTCCGAAGAGAAGGTGAATGAATCTTCGCAGCGAGCATTCAGGCAGGTCCAGCCCTGGATGAAGTGCTGCTTGGACATCTTCAAGCACTTGCCACAGGTTTGGCGAACGTCACTGAACTCCCGAGGGTTGACAGTGTGTTGGACTTCAGCCTTTGCCTGCCACCAAGATGGTGTAGAACGGTCGATCTTCTCAAGTCGAATCTTGTGAAACAGCTGTCCGTTGGCGTCCTTCTCGGACCAAAGGTCAGTGATTGTGAAGAACGCCATGACGTTGTACTTGTGTTCCGTGGCAATGGACAAGCCGGGGTACTTGTCATCTGCTTGTGAATGAGTACGATGTCCAAGTAGAGTTCTTGCAAAAGATTGACTTACCTAAGATGACGCCGACGGGCATTGCTTCCATCATGGAAGCTTGGGCAGAGGACCAGTTTCTCTCTTCGCTCTCCTTGACTCGGATCATGTTGCCATCAGCACCACGCTCTCTACCGCCACCACTGTCATATATTAGAAATTGGTAAGCGAGGGAAGCTTGGGTATCACCTACAGCGTAGTGATGATGACCTCTGTATCCATGCGGTCTCGCATGGTAGGAAAGCCACCGAGGAGGAATCCCACCACGGTATTCTTGTTGGTGTGGGCACTGCTCTGGTGAGCCTTGTAGTAAGGCAGGGCATCACAAAGAGCCTGCCGAGTTGCAGCCCAAACGGGGGGTTTTCCAAGAGGCTCAGCCTTAAGCTTGTTGATGTCGGCCATCGTACTTCCCGAGAGTACTTAGATTGATAGAAAGGAGAGGATTCTGCTATCGATCGTGAAGTCACGTGGGTTGAAGAACGGTTGCAGCCTTGAAGTAAATTTCAAAATGGGCTTTGGACAAAGAAGGTCCGAATGGTGCTTCTAGGAAAAGTAAAAGGAGGCAGGAAACGGTTCGAGGGAGTTTACGTTGTACGAAGAAGGGTTTGAGAAGACGTGAGAGAAGTATGAAGAATTGGAAGATCGTATCTGGCGATCAGGCTGTGTTAGATAAAGAGGCTGTGCTCTTGGACAGCGAGGCTATGTGTGATTGGTTGTGGATGAGAGATGTGAGTATGTGTGAGGGAGAAGTTGGATAGCGGGTGTGGGAGAGAAGTGGAAGTACCTTATGTGTGGGGGAGAAGTGGAAGTGTGTGTGGGAGAAGTGAGAGTGTGTGCAAGAGAGAAGTGCGATTGCGGAAGAAAGCCTCTTTTTAATACCCTCCGATGTGGGGGGATAAGGGCAACTTCAAGAAGGAACGAAGAAGTAGTGGGAAGTCCAAAGGCAGGATCGCAGTGCGAAGAAGAAGGAGCGGGGAACAGACCGCAGAGCTAAAGGCAGGATCGCACTGCGAACTGAAGAAGGTGCGAAGAAGGGACCGCAGGTCTCAAGGCAGGATCGCAATGCGAACTGAAGAAGGAGCTAAGAAGGGTTCGAAAGTTCGAAGGCAGCAGAAGAGCAATGTGAGGAAGGAGCCAAGAAGAAGCAGCAGGTTCCAGTGGGCTACGAGGGTAATTTATCGAACAGTGAGGAAGGTTCGGCTGGGTCCAATAGTTGTGAGTGATTCACGGGGAAAGAACGACGAACGCTAGCGTCGCACGTTTAGAAGGTGCGAATGATTCACTGCCCGAAGAAAATTTTTCTTCGTCTCAGGCATGTGGAAAGGATTGAAGAGAAGGAGCAACCAAGTGTGTTCATGTAAGGCAGATGAGGAGTATTGTGAGAGGTTCTATATGTCTCTCGTTGTTTCTAGCATATGATTGTTTCAGCTCGAAATTGTCCCCGTTTGATTCCCTTGTTGGGAGACCGAGTACAATGGTCAGGCATCCATCGAGTCTGTCAATCGTGAAGTCGAAAAGAGAACAGCACAGGTGTCGAATCTACACCAGACATCCCGTGCTTCTTGGCGGGGCATATGGCATAACATGGAATACGTAAGTGTCGGCTAACATGGGAGAGGCCAGCTCGATCATTGAGGGCATTCAGACCACTATGTAGCCACTCTAGTCTAGTAAAAGCGAGGAATGATAAACAATTTCGTGGCCGTGGCATTCTAGAAACTGCTTACTATCAATGTTGAGTGGAAGAAATCTCGCTGGCACAAATACCGGCAGCCATGATGGCTGGCTATGGGAATCATGATTCAATAAACGCCATTGCTCCCTGCGGACTTCTCATCCTCCATAGATAGGGGTTGCCTCGGAGACAATTATAGTGTCGCGGAGCCATCGTGGAGCCGGAGACAGTGGGTTCCACCATGTTAGAAGTGTTGGCGTAGGTACTGAGAAGGAGGAGGGTGCTTGAGGTGCAGCTCTGAGATAGCACTAAGGCTGCAGGAGAACCGTGATCAACTGCAAGGCTTGGACTCCAGGTACGGAGGTGCAGTAATACAACATCTGCCTGTGGAGAAATGTGCCCTAATGATAAAAATAAGCTGCGTGAAATCGGGCAGGGGGCGGTTGTCAGATAAACCGGTGACGAGGCAGATTGAGGCATGCAATCTACTCGCAGTCAAAAGACTAGCTCTATATACATTTAACTTCACACGTAGACCGAATGGGAACGGAAGGGGTGTAGAACGAATGCAACTTAAGATGGGAAGAAGGGGTGGATTCTAGCTGGTCTCTTTTTCCTACGTCACTTTCGCGAGAGGAACGCTGTTCTTCCATCGAGACATGGGGTATATCTTGAAGATCAAGGTCCGAGTGAAAAGTCCAGGGAAAGGGTCGGCACTTTTCAGAAACTTAAGGTAAGATGTAGTTGAGATCGCCTCAGAGATTTGAAAAAATCTAGAAGCAGCTGGAGCGATGAAGACCACACCCTTGAGGGTCATTGTAGGTAGGTAGTCCGGGGAAAACTGGAGTCATCTGAAAGCAATTGCTGGGTAGGCGGCGTGCAGCAAAGCAGGTCCCAATCAGCTTGGCGAGGGCACTACATCATCGTACTGTGACATTGCTTCTAATAAGCAGTAATTGCGGCTGAAAACAATGATATCCCGCCACGAAAAGCAACAGCACATGTATATTACCTAAGGGAAGTGAAGCCATCAGGTCAGGCTTGCAAAAATCGGCCAAGTCCCAACAGATTTGTGGAAGCCAAACTTCGACTCAACCACCTTAACAGCCTTTTTACTGCCCCGCTCTTGGCTACCTGTGCAACGTCGTCACCCAAGCTGTTCCGCGATATTGTTTCCCGAGAGGAACGTGAGATTGTCAGGTGAGGTTTTGAGGCAGTCAACCGCTGGGAGAGGAACCATAGCCGGTCCGAGTCACGACGGGAGAATCATGGTCGTCGTTTGGCGCGGAGGTCGGCGGGTGACAGAGGTCACGACCCACTCTGTGACATTCGGTGGAGGTTGAGAATCCGGGGCGGGAGTGAGATTCCGCGCCGGAGATCTAATGAATTGACTTCCGGGGTGCGACTGGGGATGCGGGCCAAAAAGACCTGGCCAATCTGAGGTGGTCGGCACAGATGAGTGTTTGCTTTGTCATCGGAAGAATTTCGGTTGGTCGGAATTGTTTTTACCTTGGTAATTCGGTTCTCTGGTGGCTGACATAATGAAACGGGCGACGCACCAAACACTCAATCGCCAACCAAGGCACAGGAGCCGGCTAGCCCTCTCACCTTCTGCAGCCGGTAAATCCACAGCCACTGTCTGCTCGGCCAAATTCTGGGCCCTGGACCCCTTGAAATCGACGGGGGTCATGAGTAGCGAAGGTTCGGCGACGTGAAGCTCAGAGAATGGGCGAACCAATCTAGCGACTGGGGTAAGGTGTGGGCGCTACCACCATCGGCTGCTGGCAACGGATCTTGTCCAAGGTCAGCCACAGTTAACGTCCTAACAGTCCGGGGACCTGATGCTCATCGCAGGATCTACACCAAATGACGCCGGCGGGTACGCGGAATGACTCGACCTCCTGGAGAGTGCGGGAAGATGCCGCACTATCTGTTGCCTCTGCCGAGGTGTGACAAGTACGTGGGGGAAGCTATGCTTCTCCAAGTCTTGGTTCTTGCTGCTTCTGGCTGTGAGGAGGAGCAGAGTGGCAGAGCAGCAGGGCCGAAGAGACCGGGGGGGGGGGGGGGCCGTCACCGGGGGCAGAGGCGCAACGCAATAGAGAGATCTAAACTCTGTTCCCGCCCCGGTCGGTCCCCTTTGCTGTCATTTTCCTTTCGAACCAAACGGCTTGCTCGGCAATTGAGCTACAGCTATCCACCGAGCCTCGTGCGCAACTTGACATCATTCAAAAGTCCGAACCTCCCCGAACCTTTTCTCTCAGTGACGCTTCACGCTTCACGCTTCACATCTCAACGACGAACCTACTGCGCGCGCGGCAACTAGACACGACTCTGAACGCGTGAACACGGAGCTTCTCACTTGCTATCCCCATTCGTCTCTCCTTCTCCTTCGCTCAAGATGGTCTTCACTTCGCCAAACTGGGTTCCTCAATTGCCCATCGGTAGGATACTCCCTTCGGGCCCTCGGGCCCTCGCCCAACGTTTTGCCGCGACCAGCGCTCACTAAAACACCACAGATCCTCCGGATTCAATTACAATCCAAGAGTTCATGAGCAACGAGAAGTACGGTCGCTATGCCCTCAAGGAATCCAGAAGCCCGTACACCTGCGGCCTGACCGGCAAGTCATACTCGGCATCCGAGGTGAGGGAACGAACAGACTTTTTGGCGAGAGGAATCTCCAAGAAGCTCGAGTTCGGCCCAAACGAGGGTACTGAGTGGGAGAAGGTCGTCTGCCTCTACTCCCTTAACACAGTGAGTAGCATTGGCGCCCCAATAACCCAATTTCCACGAGACTAAACAAGTGCATAGATCGATTACATCCCCTTCACCCATGCGATTCATCGGTTGTCGGGTATCGTTACTCCCGCCAGTGCCGCGTACTCAGCTCAAGAGTTGGAGCACCAGCTGCTGTCGTCCAATTCGAAAGCTGTCTTTACCTGCATTTCGCTGCTTGAAACTGCGCTCAAGGCCGCGAAGGCCGCAAAAATCCCCAACGACCGCATCTTCCTGCTGCCGGTACCGGGCGCCGATCAAAAAACACCCTATGTTACTGTCGATGACTTGATCCAAGAGGGCAAGGCTCTGCCGGAGCTGGAACCTCTCAAGTGGGTCACGGGACAGGGAGCACGCCAGGTTGCTTACCTGTGCTACTCGAGCGGCACTTCGGGTCTGCCTGTGAGTAATTCTGATTCCTAGTGGCCATGGGGCCCGTGTCTGGAGATTTGTAGACTGACGTGTCTGCAGAAAGCTGTAATGATCTCGCACAGGAACGTTATCGCCAACGTCCTGCAATTCACAACATACGAAACCGTTGCGAGGAGAAAGCTTGGTGTAAGGACACAAGCGACCCTCGGTCTTCTCCCCTTCAGTCACATTTACGGCCTGGTTGTCATTGCTCACTGCGGCACTTGGCGCGGCGACGGGATCATTGTCCTGCCCAAGTTTGAGCTGAAGCAGTTCCTCGATGCCGTACAGCGCTTCAAGATCAACTGCCTCCCGGTTGTAAGTTCCCATTTGCGGTATTGCGAGCATGACACACCCTCTAACGCACGCAGGTCCCGCCAATTGTCATCCAAGTCATCCGCAACCAAGATCTTTGCAACAAATACGACCTTACCAACGTGCGCTGGGTATACACAGGTGCGGCGCCTCTTGGCGCAGAAACCGTGGAGGATCTCAAGAAGCAGTACCCCAAGTGGCACGTGGGCCAAGGATACGGTAAGCTTTTGTTTGCACCATTTGCTTGGCCATGTTTACTAAGAAAACTCCAGGCATGACCGAAACTAGCACTGTCGTCTGCACAACCTCGGAGATCGACATCGACGTCGGATCATCAGGCTCCCTCGTCTCCGGCGCACGCGGCAAGATCGTCAATCCCACGACGGGCGTTGAGATCACAGAGTACAACACCCCCGGCGAGCTCCTGGTGCAGTCACCCTCCGTCGTGCTGGGCTACCTGCACAACGAAAAGGCCAACGCCGAGACGTTTGTATGGCACGACGATGGCCGCTGGATCAAGACAGGCGATGAGGTCCTCGTCCGCAAGTCGGCGGAGGGCAACGAGCACCTCGTCATCGTTGACCGTATCAAGGAGCTCATCAAGGTCAAGGGCCACCAGGTCGCCCCTGCCGAGCTCGAGGCGCACTTGCTCACCCACCCAGCCGTGTCCGACACGGCTGTCATCCAAGTGCCCGACGAGCGCGCCGGCGAGGTGCCCAAGGCGTACGTGGTCCGCGCCGCGGCCTATGCCTCCAAACCCGAGGCTGAGGTATCGGCCGAGATTTGCAAGTACGTCGAGGAGCACAAGGCGCGGCACAAGTGGCTCAAGGGCGGCGTCGAGTTTGTCGATGTCATCCCCAAGAGCCCCAGCGGCAAGATCCTGCGCCGTCTCCTCCGCGACCGCGAAAAGGAGGCCCGGAGATCCAAGGGTGCCAAGCTTTGAAGTATATATGTATGTACTTGTGTGTGCGTTTACGGACTAGGGAGTACGACATTTGGTCTAGTGTTTAGAAGGGTTGGATTGATGTGATGCTGGGTATTAGATGATCGTTCGGGATGTGCGTTATGCTACGAAAATGCACGAAATGCTTATATTTAGCGTCTTCTGTACATCAATCAGGATGCTGGTTATTTTTGCTGAATACGAGTTCAGATAGGTTGACTCCGAAACGAGTGACGTCTGAGCCCCTGCTGTCGTCTTTGTGAAAGTCTAACGCGAACTGAACAAATGTCGAAGAAACATGTGCCATTTTGGCTTCCGTCCTAAGTTACTTGACTACGAACCCCCCGATTTCAAAAGCATGCCGTTCAACCTAATGTCCTTCAGTATCTGCTGCAAACTTAGAAGAAGCACCAATCACGTGTCCCTCGCACCTAGAAAGGCTGCCAGAGATCCAGAGTGAATGATCCTGACTTGCCAAACCCTCATCGGCTAACCCCCCTGAAGAGCCTCAATGCTTAGTCGCACTTAAGCATCTCTTAGCGCAACCGGGGATCCAAAACAACCAAGCCTCCCAACGTCGCAGAAACCCCATCAAACAAGCCCTTCGCCTCTGGTAACTGACAAGTGGACCTAGAACTGGAACTTTTTGGAAATTCCCATGGAAGCATTTCGCCGTGGCAAACCAATTTCCTCTAATTCGCTGTCACACACGGGAAGATCAGGAAAATAATCTGTAATTCATGGCTCCTCCCGAGTGGGAGACGACCACCCCTCTTCCCCCCGGACCGGGGTCTGAGGCGACAGCCCGAGCGGGTGTGCCTTGCGGCTCGCAGGGGTGGACCCGGCGCCCGGGGTCGGTTTCGAGTTTCGCTTGCAGGTCTGGACGACCACTGGCCAGAAACCTCAAACGCTCTGCGACACCTTGTTGCACAACTTGCGCCCTGGATGGCTCTGCTCCCGAGTCGGGAGAGACAGCGCCAAGCGAAACAGTTGTCGAGCTTCTCACTGGCAATCCCTCCCTTCTCATACACACCTTAGTTGCATGGTTGCGTAACTTGCGTATGCCCAGAGAGGCGCTCTTTTGGTGCTATTGTCCCGGACAACCTAGTTCCATGTCGAACGCAATTGACCAGTCCTGTTGTTCCCCCTTCCTCCCCTGGCACGTTGAAGATCGAAAGCCACTCCCGTCCTTTAAGTCTTTGACTAATGAGACTACACGTCTACAAAGCCGGAAGAGGCGATCAGACCCAGACTGACTTGTCCCAACTCTCACACACAACCGAGTCCAGGCGAAACAGAGACAACACAAGCTTATCCCCTCCCTTCTTTTTCGTCTCTCCATTTTGCAAGTCTTGGGATGGTTCGCTTCGCGGGTGGCCTGTATGGCTCCGCTGGCTGGCTGGCTGGCTGGCTGACTGTTGATACGTCTTTTCCCCATGTTTAGTCTGAAGACGGGGTGGGGGGCTTCGGCTTGAACCCATGTAGAGAGCCCAAAAGGAGACGGGATAGAGCCAGTCACGATGGCTGGCCAGTGCAGAAGCGAAGGCGAGAGGGAAGAGAGAGAAGCCGTTGGTTGTCATTTCGGACGGTGAGACCGTGAGTGAGAGAGAGACAGAGAGGGTATTGATACCCATGACCATGGATGGGATGGTCGATGCTCATGCAGCAAACGGTTCTTTAAGATAAACCTTAACCTGCCACCCCATCCTGTGCCTTTGGGTTTCTTCTTCCCCTTTCCTCTTCTGCTTCCCCGGGTTTCTGGGAAATTCCGAATTCTGTTTCTTTACCAAGAATTTCTTCCAAGACATTTTTGATCTTCGTGAGAGAGCGACGCGCCGCAAGCTTGGCAGCTATACCTTCCATTCTCTAATTTTCCGTCTTTAATATCGACTCTTCTTTCTTCTTCTCTCCTTCACTTCGACACCCAGGATGTTGACCGTCCGCTCCCTCGTCGCCGCCCTCGCGGTGGTCCTCAGCTTGCTGAGCGTCGTCCACGGCGCGCCTCAGCCCCAAAACAGGAAAGGAAATGGAAACCGAGGCGGGAACGGAAATGGCCGCGCCAACAGCCAGACGTCGCAGCAGCAGGCCGCGGCAGTGCCCCAGGGCATCTCACAAGCGACTGACGGATCGATGATCCTGGACATGACCGCGAACGTCAAGTAAGTCCCTCGCTACTCTTATTCTACTCCTGGTGGTCATGAACTAACACGGCACTCTCTCTCTCTCTCTCTCTCAGCGGCCTCGACCTCCGCTTCAAAATCAGCGGCCCAGCCGAACAATTCACCGCCGCCTCCGGCGTCCCCGGCGCCGCAGCCCAACCAGGTGCCCAGGGCACCCTCGGCCTCAACGTCCTCCTCCACGGCGACGGCGGCCAATCCTTCTTCGACATGCCCAACCAGGGCGTCCAAAAGAACCTCGCCGGCGTCGCCGTCCTCGCCCCGGACCCGAACCTCTTCTGGGGCGGCGGCCAGGGCCTCCAGCGCACCGACGGCGTAGCCCACTCCCAGGCCGTCAACGACCTCGTCCAGAAGACGCTGCCGCAGATGATGGCCTTTAACCAGTCCAACGTCTTCTTCACCGGCGTCTCGGGCGGGTCGCTGATGTTGTCCGGCTTCTTCATGCCCGCGCACATGCAGAATTTCGCGGGCAACGGTGTGCTGTTGAACTGTGGCGGTCTCCCGCCGCAGGTCGACGTCGTCGACGCCAAGGCTGTTGCGGGAACGAGAATTCATTTCCAGAGCACGCTGCAGGAACTCTCCAACCTGCAAGAGGCGATCCCGGCGTCCGTCAAGGCGTACGAAAAGATTGCGACGGATGCCGGGCTCAGCACCGACCAGGTCAACGCCAAGCAGACGGTCAACAACTCGCCCAACGGCGGGCACTGCGCCTTCGACGAGCAGGGGTTCGTGTCGGGTATTCAGCTTGTTGCGAACAACTACGCGGCCATCATGCAGGGCGGTAACGGCGAGGTGCAGGGGATTGGTAATGTCTTGACTGGTGTAACTGGCAATGAGAACTTGCAGTTTACTGGGTCGAGCAGGATGAGGCGGAACATGATCGGTTGAAAAGGACTGCGTCTAGTTCTGGCGGCCGTCTTGGGGAAAGCACAATGTTGATACCACGCCCTCTCAGGAAAGATATATCAAAAAATGAGATTCAATTTCAGCTGTTACTTTGCCGTCAAAATGAGGAGGCCTCCGTTGGTATAATTAATTGGATTCTCGTATCAAATATGAAATGGTTGAAAACAAAAACCTTCATCATCCAAGAACTGGGCTCTCTGGTCTCGCAGAGCTATTCTTCTCCGTAACCCCTTCAACATGCTGGCTATCCGGGACCGAGAGCTCCTGAGCAGGAACTTCGTTTGCAGTCATCTCGGACGCAGGGCTCATAGGCAGTGGCGAAATCGGGTACGATCCTTCGAGCTCCATGATGATTCGATGCGGGATACAATCCGAATGGAGCTGTGGCTTTTCATATTCCTCTTGGCCGTAGCCCCCGCGGCCAGTGCCACTAGTACCAACATCAGTCGCCATTGACTCCTCTTTATCAACCACCCGTTGCCTCCGTCGCCTCAGAAACCAAAGCGCGCCGAGGACGAGCATAATCGCTGTGATCACGCCAATGACTGGTCCCGCTATCCACGCCGAGTTCCCTGGTATCGGCCCTGTTTGTCACCCAATTAGCGTCACCATCGTATGAACAAGACTCTTCCCAAAAGGCACCAACCTGTATCTCCTGTCCCAGGTCCCTTTGACGTCTCTGATGGAACCCCCCAGGTTGACGTGCTACCCGTCGCAGTGCTATATGTCCCCTTGAACTCCGTCGCCGTGATCGTCTGGATGTTTCCCGGCACCACGTTGCCATACCAATCTGTAAGGGATCCCCAATACGCGCGGGTGACGGTAGTCAATTGTGAAGGTGCGTACGTCCAGTCCGAAGGTCTGCCGCTGCAATAGTCACGGTAGTCTTTGAATTTCGGCTCAATCTCCTCGGGTATGTAGGTTTTTGCAATGTCCAGTGTGTCGTATAAACAATCTATACACGCTTCGTACTCTGTCTGAAAGTACGCGTCTTTGTGGCAGATCAGTGGCTGTTTGCCGACTGCCTGTATGTAGAGATAGAGGGCCTCTAAGACGCACTTGTGGTCAGTCGCTGGCCGCAATTCCACGCCGATAGATCGAGAAACTTAGTAAAGGGAATGCGTACCGAAACGTTTGAAGCAAGGTTCTGCTGGATCTGACATGTAAAAGGAACCTCCGCTCGAACCGGTCGCCGTCATTGATTCCGTCCTAATTAACCAGAGCGTCGTCGGAGCCCGCGACGTGATCGTTGGAGCTGACATCTCCAGTCGAGTAAAAGTGCCCGATTAAATCAGGTCATTGGCGTCTCTTATTTGATGTGGTGTAAGTTATGAGGGTTCTTCCCCCGCAAAAAGGAGCGTCAGACGTGAAAGATGCTGACAAGCTTCAATGTACGGGAGCCATTGGGCTGACTTTATATGGCCGCGAACGCCACGCCATGTCAGAGTAATCGGTTCCGCTGCAGAGATGTTTGCCCTTCTTGGCAACGGGTATGAGCCGCGCAACGGGAGTCCGTGATCTCCGGTGCGGCCAGTCCGTAAGCATGATCCCGCAGGCCGAATGGGATGATGCGAGTGCGTGTAATGGATGGTAAGCGCCCAATGAGAGCGTGCCGTCATGCAGTGTTACTCGACGAGAGTGTGTTTCGTGGTGATGGCCGTACGATGGCTCGTCTTACGTGGTGTCCGGGGTACTCTACTCAGTTACCCGTGGAAAGGTACGAAGTGACCATAAACTGGAGGAAGATTGGGCCGCTTGATGGTTTTGGTCGACTTACATCGATGTTTGCTGGACTTTTGAGAACGACACGGGTAGCTGCGATGTGTATGGAACGAAAACTAACCATGGTTGGAAAGAGTGGCACGAAGTTCTTCGCCTCTCCTCATGCTGCCCGGCATGCTCCTTTCCTCCATCCCTCATGTACCGCTACTTCCCCTTGCCTCGAGTGGTTGTATGTCCTCACGCTGTTCAACCACGCCCCCAGGCATCTCTGCAATTTCGCGACTGTGCGAAGCCAGCATTTCTTGCGCAGCGATTTCGTTCGCGCTCATCTCCGGTAATAGGTCCGGATATGAACCCTCGAGCTCCATGGAAGGCTTTGGAGGTAGACATTCGGAATGATGCCTTGACATACTCCTCGTCTCCCTCCCTCGTTTCCCCGTTAGCTGCAAGTGGCTGAGTGGTCTGTCGCCTTTGACGTCTGACGAACCAGAAACCAGCAATGAGAGCAAGGACCGCGATACAGCCAATAACTGGACCGGATATCCAGCCTCTACTGGTGACTGGGGGCAATTCTTATCTTCTGGTTAATGTTGAGGTTTTCATCTAGATTGTTCAAGTGGTCACGAACCTGCAGATTCCCTTCCTGTTGGTATTGTACTTTGCAACGAAGTAGACGAAGAAATACTTGACGTAGTCAGGGATTGAGCTATAGCGCTCATAATCGTTGATGTCTGGATGATTGTCACAAGATCGTCGTTTAGGGCTGTGAGAGTGATAGCGTATGTGACGATAGAGTAGGTGGTTTCTGAGCCTGAGCAGAATTCCAGGTAGAATTCAAACTTATGTCCGAAGTAACTCTCAAAATCACCTCCGCTTTCGTTTTCTTGAAGGCACTGCCGACATGTATTGAGCATTTCATTAAAGTATGAGGCTTGCTCGCATAAAGAGGGATCGTTCTCGTGTGCCTGTACCATCAAATAGGCACTGTCTGTATGCGATGCCATTAGTCATGTAGCACACTTGAGCGAGGGCCTAAAGAGGTAACTCACTACAGGAACCGTAACAAGCAGCTGGGAATGGGGTTCTCGTTCCCGTTGACGATGGTTGCGCGGTAGTGGTTGAAGTTGGTAGAATGGTGGTAAGTAGCGATGTTGAACCGGCCTCCATTGGCCTTACTGACGTATCTGCCATTGTCTATTTTCTGATGTGAATTATTCGATGGAGTCCATGGGACCTTCTGCCAAAGTGTACGAGACTTCTTTGCTGTTTTGAGGGAAGCCTTCTGTTGAAGAGTCAGGCGGGGAACTAATCGGCATCAACCAATTTATATGGGTGCGCACTTTTCGAGCGGAGGGATGTCACACTGCAGTCACATTATCGTCTTGGCAAGTCTCTAGCTGCTCTTTGAGGTAACGATAACACTAACACATCGATCCTCTTGAGCCAATGGACCTTTTAACATACTCAAATATCCGGCTGTGTAGAATAGAGCCTGGACACAGACTGTGTGACACGTGTGGCACCCAAAAAGAACTTGGCACTGTTGATAGTTCTCGGATGGCTATGGTCTTGGACGGTACGGTCTTCATTGAGCGTCTTATGTGTCATATACCTGTTCCCAAAGGAATATCATTGGCAGCGAGCTATACTCTGGACGCAGTCCTCGTTCTTCCGCAGTCTGCTTAATGTGGTGTGGCAGCTGCCACCTCCTTGACCAAGTTCAGATCAGAATGCAGCGTTATAGATACTCGAGGAGCCCGTGGTATCATCAAATAGTTTTCAGAATTTCTTGCAATTATTATGTTCTTGGACGCGGTCCCTCGCAGTATCTACCCTCTGACATTTGACACGCTGCCGCAACGTGAACATTGTCCGCTGCCTGATCCAAACTCCACAATCGATCTACCATTTCAAAGCCACAGCCATTCATTCAGCCAAAGTAATGGAGTTGACCATTCTTGCGACAATAATCATAGACCTTTGAGGTCCATTCGGCATCGTGCTGTTGCTGGTCGTGGCCCCGTTTCTTCGTCATGCCCTCATGCATGAGAATCATCTCTCCAATCCGAGCTCTGGACAGCATCACGCACAAACGCTTTGGGTCGTCGAGGAAGCCAGCGCTTCTCGTTCTGACCGTGTCGACAAACACAAAGTCTGCCTCATGTCCTTGAGCAGAGTCCACAGTGCGGGCTTCGAGAGCATTGAATCTTAGCTCTACATCCATCCTTCCACGGAAGTGAGGCGGAAGGGTCTTGATGAACTGTCTGTACCGAACCAACGCAGCCTTGTACGGGGTGATGATCAAGATTCGTCCAGGTTGATCAGGCTTGTCAATCTGCTTGAAATCGGCGTGTCTGAGCAACTCAAAGCAGCGCTGCTTGATAAAGTTCTCGTGAACCTGGTTGTAGAAGCTAGACCTGTCCTTCATCTCCCTAGAGTATCGTAGGTTCAGTAGGATTCGAGGTACAGTGCATTCCTGGCCCCTGGTGAATTGACCAAGCCATCTTTGCATGTGCCGTACGGGTTCAGAGAAACGCTCAGCTTCGGGAATTCCTGACGTTAGTTGCCCATCGTAGAACAGCTCTGACGCCAAGGCTTGGAGGTCTCCATACATTCCTAGACGCCGTTAGCTATCTTGTCAAACCAACATTAGAGTACAATACTTACGGTGGCTAATTAGAAGCTTGCTCTTCAAAGCCCCGGCGAGATCCGCTCTTTCCATGGTGCTAATCATGAGTTGCTTTGCATAGACATTCTCGTTCTCTATACCCTTGCCGCCTTCAACGAAGGGTCTGGTTTGTCGGGTATCGCCGGTGAGAATGAACGCACACGGCGAGTACAACGCAATCGGGATGAGAGTTGTCAGTTCTCTTGCATGAGCAGCCTCATCGAGGAACACGATGTCCGGATGGAAGCTTTTGCTCAGGTACCCAGACGCTCCTACAGGAGTTGTCGCGATGAAGTCGGCATCTCCAATAACGGAGAGATAGAGTCTGGCCACACGAGCCTTGAGCTCTCTTGCCGTTTTCTTGGTCTTAACCGCACCGTTCAAGAGCTTATCGAGTATCTTTGTTAAAGACTTGAATCTTGTCCGGTCGGCATCGTACAGCTCCCAAGCAGTCTCATCCAAAGATGGCGCTCGATCGCCACGTGCTTCCTTGGGAGAAGGAGTACCGCTCAGTAGACCAGTAGAAGCACGGGCTTGTCTGAGGAATCCAGCAGTGAAGTCAGGCTCGTCATCCTCACTTGCCAAGGGTGCTGGGTGAAGCTTTGCACTGCTTCGCATCTCGCGAGCGCAGCCGCGGACCCTGATCACTGACTTATTGATTCCGGCTTTCTTCAACGTTGAGTATACCCTGTCTGCTGCATCGTCACAGGGATAGTTGACGTCGAGAAGATACAAAATCTTGACCGGCTTGCGTATCTTCTTGCCATCGTCGCGCACAAGATTGCGAGACTGAGACACTGCCATGGCAGAGATGAAGGCATTCAACGCTGTCTTTCCTGCACCAGGACAACCGAGAATGATCGCGAGTCCCGCAGGAACTCGACGGAGCTGCTCATACACACTCTTGTGGTCCGAGTTAAGTCGGCTGTAGACTGACTTTAGGTAGGCGTTCGAATGGCGCGAAGGGTTGTCCATATGTGGAATCTTGTCAAACATGTTGACGTAGAAACTTGGCTCTTTCCGGAAATCCAGCAAGTACTCGAAGGTTCCAATGGTGTTTTCCGACAATTCGTTTCCCTCCTTCTTCGGCTGGGTCAAGATGCTCAAGGCCGTCAATTCAGCTTCATATGTGACAGGATTCTGGTCGACCCGAAGGCTGATCTCAGCAGCATTTTGAAAACTGAGAGGTGTTGGGCCAAGAATGTAATCTGTGTCCTGCGTGACCGCAATAGACAAGAGAGGGTGGTACTGTTCCTTCGTGACCGGGTCGGCGACGTATTCCATGGTCACATTGAAAGCTGCCAGCAAAGAATACTGGTACATCTCCGGGATCGTCTCGTACGGGTTGGGAATCCGCTGCGCTGGCAGAGTTCCAGGGTTGTATTTCTTGCCCCTGCAAATGAAATCTCGTTTGAACGAGATGTTGCACATGTCGCCCTCATCAGGGAAGTAGCGTTGCGGCGTCGAGGGTAGTTCTGCAAGAACGATCCACTGCCTTTGCAGGTCTGACGCGATGAGGGAGTATGGTCCTGGCACGGGCGCAATGACCCAGGCGTATCTGGTTTCAGGCGTCTCATTGAAGCGCTTGATCGCAGATGCCTCGTTGGACATCTCTATGATGGTGCCTTCACGATGGACTCGGGCGAACTCATGTGCGCTGTTGAAAGAGTGAACCATTCGGCGGCCGCAGTCTCTGTCAGACAGCTCCAGCTAGTAGAGTTAGTTTCAGGAAGAAAAACACGGGTATGGAATGAAAGGAGAAGACTTACAATCTTCTTCGGCGTGGGGAATGTATGGGTTTCTTCGCCAATGGCAGCAGTGACATCCACGGCTTGCTCAAGCTGATCATGGACAAGGGAAGTCTGGACGTCGTCGATGGGCCCGCAGCCTACATTCCAGGTCGCGTAAAGCATCTGTTTGTTGTCAGCGAGAGTTGGTCAACGGCAGCACAAGTGCTGGAATAACTGACTTTGGTATGTCGCCTCGAGGGATGCGCAATGGTGCCAAGCCGACAACCTATGGAGGGTGAAAGCGCCGCGAAGGCACTAGGTGGTAGGCCGAAAGCCGTATTTGCGCAGCTTTCTATCTCGTACCCGACAAATTCTTGTGAATTGTGTACAAGACGGAAGGGTATGGGTGCGTGAGCAGGAAAGGAGGAGTAGGCCGCGATATTTTGACGGAGTGAGGACCGTCGCGAAGATTGGAAGAGGCGAAAAGTCGAAGTGCTCGACCAGAATTCCAGACTGTGGGTAGGTAGGTGTCTGGTAGACGTAGTCGACCTGACGAGACCTGAATGATATGGAAGGGAAAGAGGAAAGTCCAGGTAAGTGGTAGGAAATAAGTACCTGGTGAGGGAAAGGCGGGAAGGTGCCGACCTTTTCACAGAAGGCAGCAGCGACCTGAGATGAAGTTGAGGTCGGGCTCACCTTCCGTGAGTGAATCAGTGGTGATTCACCTCACGTGAGTATACCTGCCCCTCGTAAGAGCATTGCAGATTGTTGGGCAGAATATATGAAGGAATACACAGCTGGGACAGCATTCCTCTTCAAGGTAAGGTAGAGTGGCATCGAGAATCGGGAAACGGGACGGCTCGATGAGCCTGGGAACGTGTTGAGGTTCTGTACGCACGATAACACGCCCAGCAACATACAGTCTTCCTGGAGATGAGACATCTGTAAGTCGTTCCATGCATGCTTGACCAAAACTCTGGCCCTGCTTATGATCCAATGGGCTGAGCCAGAGAGGTCAAATAGTGGTCAAAAGAAGCGTCGATGATTACCATGGAGGAAGCTGACGACTGGTGTTTATTTGGTAAACAGAGTCAACTCGAGTACACACACAGATGGGAAGGTAAGTTGACACTATTACTAGAATACTGAACAACTTGTTCTTGTATACGTATCTCAGCAATGGACTGTTGTCAACATATAGACAGATACTGGCTGGCTGCCTATCAAAGTACGAACACTCAGCAACCATTCGAGCCATGCGAGAGATACGCAAGCAGAATATAAGATAGTGTCCTACGAGCTGTCTGTCTCTCTTTCCCGTGGCTTGTGACTAGATTGAAGCGAAGAAGGTCGTAGGTATTGAACAAACCTAGCATGTCATTATGGCAATTGCAGTATAGGAAAGGAAGGAGGAGCTTCATTATCGTGTCTCGAGTCTTGCCTGAAGCACACCAAAGGCTAAGCAAGCGGAGCTCGTACGTGATACGAATGTGTGTCCAAGTGGTTTGTTCATCCATCGCCTGGTCGATCATGTCGTGTTGTTGAAGTCGGACATGTGGAGGTATGTGGGGGTTTCCGAGGTTGGCAATTTCGACATCGGTACCTTGCCTCGGTGAAGCAGACTCTGGGTTGGCCACTGGGTCTGAACTACCTAGAACCATCGACACTTGGGAAGAGAGAGCCTCAACTTGAATAGGTACGCGTTAGCTGTACAGATATCAAATGCCAAGCATGTTTTGATTCTTCCGACGGTTGTTCATCCTGGTTAAGCACGATGATTGCCCTTGTCATATCGAAGTCATCTCATCGTCGGCGGAAAGTAACCGCTGGACCGGGTCTCGTGGGCTATTTTAGCCCAAGACCTTGTCGCAGAATTAGCACCAATTCGAGCGTGCAGGATCCGCCACGACAGGGGTCCAGCCGACACCAGGACTCTAGGAGCAGGTCCCTGGAATACCATTCCCCAGTGCCCAGCCAGAGGAGCAAGTCCAGCCGGGGCGTAAGGGTGATGCTGTCAGTTGCTGGATCGTAAACGCAGGACGCCGAACTGCGGCACGAGCTTCGATGTTATGCCGTCCAATGCCGCTTCGGCAAGATGGGAATCTCCTTCACCTTAGCTTTAAGAAGAGCATTGGAGGATGAAACCAGTCAACGTCAGACGTCCGACGTCAATGTGAGCGAATTTGTGTACGAAGGACGGGTTCTGGCGCCGGCACGTCGGTTTGACGGATTGAGATCATCTCCGCTGGCAGTCCTTGCCGACCTGAAAGTTCCTAACGGTGATGGAGATCTACCCCACCAGCTAAGGGCTTCTTCATTCCTTACGACCCAGCAAACAGGGGCAGAGGCACGAGATGGCTGCCCCCCCATCGCTGGCCGCGGGATTAGGTAGGAGTGGCAGGGACCAGTGGTGGTCACTGGTGGCGGCGAAACGGCGCGAATGATGGAGCGTTGTGATTCTGGTCTAGGAAATGGGCCCAGCTTGTCGGGCGGTCGCTGTTAACTTTCGAGTTCAAGTTCCCTGCGACCAAGACACGGAGACACCAAGGGTCGTGGAGAGGCCGTGTGGCGGGGCAGTGAAGCTTTACGAAAATACGATTGGTCTGTTCTGGCCAAAGCGCCAGTACTGCGGGGCCAAATTTTGGTAGCGAGCGACCTGCACGTGGGCGCAATTTTGATCAGGTACCGGTATTTCCACCCTCTGTCAGCAGCTGGATATAAGTACCCCGAAAGTATTCCGTACCTTTACCCGACTGAGCCACAGACGAGCCAAAGTACTCCCTTAATCTGCAGGTAAACGTGGAGGCGGGAGGCAACCCAGTCCAACCTTCCTTGATCCACAGACTGCAAGTCCACTCCAACTCACTCTCTCTCTCTCTCCCAGGCTCCCACCCCGTACTCCCGTACTCTCCTGCGCCCGCTTGCTGAGCGCACCTGCTTCTGGGTGAGGCTGAACCACCATTGCACCGGCCTAATTAATCCAACTGCCCCCATTACGGTGCTGACTTTAACTGCACTTCATCCGCTTCCTCTCTCGTGGGCTCATCGCCATCGCGGCGACTGCTCGTCCACACACAACGTCGTCTCAACAAAACATACCATCTGGACTGCCTTTATACTCAACTCACAGGCGACGCAGCGTCTATAGCTCGCCTTCTCACTTCGCGCCCGCCACCGTCAACGTCATCCGAGTGTCTCAGGTCTCTTTGGGGGAGGTTCATGTGGTGCAGCGAGTGCTGACGCGTGGTTGCCGAAAATGGCTCCTCCAGCAGCTTCGTCTGAGGGTATTACTGCCCAATCAGACCTTGGCGAATCTGACGACAGTTCATCCTTCTTAAAACGCTCGATTGACATGAACCGACTGAAGCCAAGACGGGAGATGTTATCCCTCACCAACCGCGCGACACTAGAGCACCGCTCATTATCAGGAGGAGGAGTTGCTGGAGTCGTTATTGGTGTCATTGTCGCCGTCTTCCTCGTCGGTGTTTGCGCCTACCCATTTATCGTTCGGAGGAGAAGAGCTAGGAGAAATGAATTGCCCGAACGCCTCGACACGGAAACGGCCTTCGTCCCCGGGCCTATGGGTCCTCCAGGACAGGCGCCGGCGCCCGGACCCGGACCCGGAATCAACAGCCGTCTTTCTTCAGAAAATTCCTTTGGAAACAAGGCCGACACCCTGAGGGGTACAGAGAGACAGTCTACCAAGGACACGACCCTATCATCTCACAACGGCACCGACCGTCCTCCCAGCGATGAAGTGAGCAACCAGCACCAGCGTGGCTTCACCGGCGACAGCACTCATCCACCTAGTGTCACGACGAGACGCGGCACCACCGAGTACTCTTTTGGACATGCGCCCACATGGAACAGCGACTCGTCCTATCCATGGACCCCCGTGGGTGTCGAGCTGGTTGCCACTCGAGCCGATGGCATGGACTACACCGAAGCCAATCATGGACATAGCGCGACCTACTACAGCCCGACGATTCCTTCCGAGGCCTTTGGCATGGTCACGCCGCCTCCGACCGACGAGCCTCAAAGTCGCGCGGCACTTCCTAGACGGTCAAGCTCCCGAGGAAGCTCGTTCAAGCTCAACCTAGCAAGCATAATACGTCGCACGAGCACCAAGGAGTCAGCAACCGTTCGCTCAAAGGGTCACCTGTCGCAGCCCGTTCTTAGCGAAACACTATCAGAATCTCCCACCGAGTTTACCGGTCCATCTTTCGGAACCGCTCAGCTGGATTCACCCATTCACCTACCTGTTAGCCCCATGTCGGAGCCTGAGGACCCTGGCCACGCTTCGGAGCTGGAAAAGAAAAGAGCAGCCAAGCCGACTGAATCCCCTCCTTTTCTTCCTCCGGCTGTACCGGCTCCTGGGACTGTGAATCCAATGGACATCATGGCACCGTCAAATCCGACAGAGCACAAGTGGAACACGAACCAGCAGCTGTTCAATATCGCGCATCCGCCCCCTAAGCCGCCTGTCGACACTCCAAAGCCAATATCAGAACCGCCGCAAGCAACTCAAGCTCTTACGCCACAATCACCGGAACAATCATACGAACAGCAGGAACAGTATATTCTCCAGCAACAGCAGCAGCAGCAGCAGCAACAGGAACTTCAACGTCAGCAGCAAGAAGCAAATGGACCATCAAAGTTATATGGGAACGAACAATACCAGGCGATCAACTGGAACCTCACAAATGGTAGCCATGCAAACGGCGCTATTCCAGATGTACAGATGAACGGTGTCGCGCAACTACCCGATCCCACCCACCTCATGCCTGATCAACATAATCAACATAACCAGCACTACCTCGATGGCGAAATGACCGACCCATCTGATCACTCCCCGCCGGTAGCTGGACAAGCTAGTTCCGGCCCATCTTACCAAAGCACGCCAAACACCCAAATCGACAGCAGTCCGTCTCCTCGATCAGATGGCAGCTCGGATATCCGCAATAGCACTTCACCGTATCCAGGAATGCAGCCATCCCCTCGGACCTTTATTTGCGATGAATGTGGCAGGTTTTTCGACCAAGTTCATAAGCTGAAGTAAGTCGATGTATGGAGATTGGGTCGGCACATTATACTAACAGATCTAGTCACCACAAACGGTACCATGAGAGACCTCATGAATGTGCCCATCCGAACTGCGGAAAGAGATTCGGTACTAAGACACATCTGGATCGTCACATCAACGATAAACACAAGAAGACGAAGAAGTTTCATTGCACCGTCAGCACTTGCCCCTATTCCAAGGCGGGAGGCAAGTCATTCCCCAGAAAGGACAACTGGAGACGGCATATGATGAATATCCATCAAGTCACGCCAATGGCCGACCCGGAACCCGACATCGTCGACGAGAATATGGGAGGAACATAAGGGTGCGTTGCGAATAAGGTTCTCTACACGCAAACACAGTGCCACCGACTCAGGGGGTAAAGGGGCAAGATCGCCCCACAGACGAGGGAACGCTTGGGAAGTGGTCTATCGAAATGACAGACAAGGGACTTGCAAGCGATTTCGGCCCTTGCTCTTAGTGGTCGCAGAACTGGAAGTGAATGAGGGGGGTACGGCTGCTTAAACAAGGCACCCTCTGACAGGAGTCATTTCCCATCGGGCCTAGCGACGGCTCGAGACATCATTCGTTTTGTTATTGCCAATGGGCAATGTGTTACATACATCATGGTTGCCTCTTGAGGATGGAGTCAAAACAGGGAGGCAACACAGGTACATTCTTTTATCGGGTGCTGCCATAGCAGCAGTCGGGCGTTTGGAGGCTCACGGAGATTGCCGCCAGGGTAAATACTGTAGAACAAGGCCAAAAAGCATCACGGGAGGGCGTGTTTGCATAGGAAACCTCTTTTAACTCAAATCTTTGATTAAAGATCTCACAAGCTTCTTCTGCTGATCGATTGTGAGACCGCGCTGGTCCGTCTCCTGGATCGCCCTTCCCACCGCGATGATGATCTTGGTGCTCTCGCTGTTGACCCAGATCTTGCCATTGCGACCGACGGCCGTCTCGAAGGCCGCGCCCGTGGCACCCAGCTCCTCCAGCACGACGAGATCCGTCGTCTTTGGCATGAGCAGACGCCGCGACATGCCTAGTGAGATGTCGAAGAGCATGCCGCCCACGAGGGGCCCCAGGCCGTCGCTCTTGCCGGTGGATTGGTAGACGCATTCGAGCTCGGGGTCCATGTGCTTGTTCGCCAGGGTGACGCGGGCGTAGACGAGGGCGCCGGCTGCTAATTGGGGGCGGGTCTTTTTGGACGCGCCTTCGAAGGAGAGTTGGGGAAGCATTGCGGGTGTTGAGTAGTCGGCGAGGAGGACGTAGTAGAGTTCGGCGGCGGTGCGCTGGACGGTGCCGACGACGAGGTCGCCTACGGCGGGTATATACTGTTTGGGATCATTTGTTAACTTCTTGTTTATTATTCCTTGGAGCCAAAATGGCAGCATTGATATGGATGTATCGTACCCTTCCACTTGTCTGCTCAACCCATATTGAGTTCTTCTTGCAATCTGTGACGAGCTTGCCGGCGATGGTGGGCACTATTTGTCTGGGAGGAACATGTCGGAGACCAGGACCGAGGCGCAGGGGAAGTTTCTGATGCGAGGGGATGAGGGAGTCGTCGATCACGTCGCCGGGGAGGACGTAAGGGCCGACGGAGGCCATGGTTGAGTTTTCGTTCTTCGGGAGGCGAGTTTAGGTTGTGATGTTGAATTGAAGTTGTCAAAGAGGAATAGGACGCCAAGTACTTTTTTCCCGCCTTCTGCGCCGCCGTTCTGCTTGCTTGGTACCAACTCGATTTCAGCCTTGCAGCAGCAGCGGTCACTGAATGTCGAAAGCTTCGGCGGGGCACCTTCGTGTGTGCGGCGCTGCGCGCCCAGCGAATTGAATTTGATTGGAATACGGCTGGTGGGACATGTGTGGAGAACCAAAGTGCCCCACTGCGACTGGACGACCAGCGAACGTGGGAATTTTTTTTTACCTTGCCCAAAATTTCGAGTTGGCCTTTGAGAGGAACCCCCACCATCCATCCACCCACCACCATTGAAAACATTCCTCCTCCCCGAGATCTCTACAGGAGTTGCGGAACCAAAGTTCAATAAATAGCCCCCCTGCTCTTTTCTCGACTCCTCATATCGTCGCCTCCTCCCCCTCCACGGCGAATATACAGACGCACACACACATACGTCTCTCCGGACGCACACATACACACACACACACACACACACAAAATGGCTACGAACGGTGACTCGCGGCCCGCGCCGGGCGACCGTACCGTCATTGGTATCACCTTTGGCAACTCTAACAGCTCCATCGCATACACCAAGGATGACAAGGCTGAGGTTATGGCCAACGAGGACGGAGGTGAGTTTATTCTCTGGGGGATGGGGGAAGCACGGCACTTGTTTATTGTCTTTGTAGAAGAAGTGAACCGCTAACCTTGCGAAATTCCGCCAGACCGTCAAATTCCCACCATCCTCTCCTACGTTGATGGAGACGAGTACTACGGACAGCAGGCCAAGGCCTTCCTCATCCGGAATCCCACCAACACGATCGCATACTTCAAGGACTTCCTCGGACAGGAGTACGGTTTTACCCTTCCCATATCACACGCTGCCCGCCTGGCATCTTTGAACTGACCATATCCCACCACCAACAGCTTCAAGTCCATCGACCCCACCCACAACCACGCCTCTGCCCACCCCCAGGACGTGAACGGCACCGTCTCCTTCTCCATCAAGGACAAGGTGGACGCCGAGGAACCCTCCACCGTCTCCGTCCACGAGGCCTCCGTGCGCTACATCCGCCGCCTCGTCGGCTCCGCCAGCGACTACCTGGGCCAAAAGGTCACCTCGGCCGTCATCACCGTCCCCACCAACTTCACCGAGAAGCAGAGGGAGGCTCTCGTCGCCGCCGCAAAGGAGGCCGGCCTCGAGGTCCTCCAGGTCATCTCCGACCCCGTCGCCGCCGTCCTCGCCTACGACGCCCGCCCTGAGGCCGTCGTTGAGGACAAGATTGTCGTCGTCGCCGACCTGGGCGGCACCCGCTCCGACGTGGCCGTCGTCGCCTCCCGCGGCGGCATGTACACCGTCCTCGCCACCGCCCACGACTACGAGTTCTCCGGCTCCCACCTCGACCAGGTGCTCATCGACTACTTTGCCAAGGAGTTCATCAAGAAGCACACCACCGACCCCCGCGAGAACGCCCGCTCCCTCGCCAAGCTCAAGGCCGAGTCCGAGTCCACCAAGCGCGCCCTCTCCCTCAGCGCCAACGCCAGCTTCAGCGTCGAGTCCCTCGCCGATGGCGTCGACTTCCAGTCCACCATCAACCGGTTACGCTACGAAATGGTCGCCCGCAAGGTCTTTGACGGCTTCAACCGCCTCGTCGAAGGCGTCGTCAAGAAGGCCGAGCTCGACGTCCTCGACATTGACGAGGTCATCGTCGCCGGCGGCACCGCCCACACCCCGCGCATCGCCGCAAACTTTGCCCAGCTCTTCCCCGAGTCCACAAAGGTCATCGCCCCCGCCACCGTCGCCAACGCAATCAACCCCTCGGAGCTCCTCGCCCGCGGCGCCGCCCTCCAGGCCTCGCTGATCCAGGAATACGACGCCGAGGACATTGACCAGAGCACCCACGCCGCCGTCACCACCGTCAAGCACATCTCCAATGCCATCGGCGTTGTCGGCGCAAACGACGAGTTCGTCCCCGTCGTCCCCGCCGAGACCGCCGTCCCCGCCCGCCGTACCGTCAAGATCGCCGGTCCCAAGGACGGAGGCGACGTCCTCGTCCGCATCGTCGAGGGAGGCGCCCACATCAAGGTCACCAAGCCCGAGCCCAAGGCCGCCAAGCCCGAGGCCAACGGCGACGACGACGAGGACGACTCTGACTTCTCCGACGAGGAAGAGGAGGATATCCGCGAAAAGGTCTGGAAGGTCGGTCCCACCCTCGCCGAGGCCGCCGTCCGCGGCGTCAGCAACGGCGCCAAGGTCGAGGTCACCATCAACGTCGCTGCCGACTTGGGCGTCACGATAACGGCGAGAGAGGTTGGCGGCAAGGGCGGTGTCCGCGGTGCCATCAGCGCTCCTTGAAGTGGGGTGTCCGTCTCTTGATATCAAAACAAGACCAGTAACGACTTTGCCTTTTACAAAACAGGCGCGCCGTTTATCGCAAAAAAAGGGCCAGGCGTAAAAAGAGAGGAGCGGTTCGGCAATATGGAATAAAGCCTACCCCCGTTTTTTTATAGATCCAAAGTGGTGGGGAGTGGAAAGGAAAGGGAAGGGATGAATCAAAACGGAAATGAAAACACCCGGAACATAGAGAGAGCAAAAAAGAGGTATAGACAGCGAGCTTTTTTGTAGGCGAGTTAGTCTTGGGTGAGACAGATGTAGAAACGAAATGCTGTTAAATGAACTTTTCGTTTCCCCTGAAACTTTGCAAACATGCGGATCTGAATTCAGAGACATGACTTTGAAAATGCAACCAAATCTGATATTTGTTGCTATGCGTATACACAATCCCTCCCAAGGATGATACGGGGACAAAGCTTCACTAGAATGAGTCTGAAAAAAAAGGGGGGTGGGGATCGCCAATACAAGAAGATTAAATGTACGCCTGCCCACTAACACCTTGCTACAAGGGAACGAAAGCAAAAACGGTTCTTGGTTCACATCGCTCTGCCCCCTTTTATGTGACAGCACCAGGCAACCTCCACGCAACGAGATCGTCACGAACGTCAAATTCCTCCAGCTCCCTGTTCCTCCTCGAGCTCTCGCGCCCTCGATCACTGCTGCCCATCGTCGGTGCCAAGCTCACCATGCTACCGCTGCGGCTCCTCGAGCGTCCGTAGTCGCGCGCACCGATACCACCTCCGTTACCGCCACCGCCACCTACTCCGAGACGTTGATCGTCGTCCCGGCCCCTGGTCCGGCTATGTGAACCGCGACGAGCCACGTTGCTCGCGCCAGCGGTGCTGCTCGCCGTGTCACCGCGGCCCGTAACGATGGTGGCCATGCTCTTAATGCTTCGCAAGCTCCTCATACTCTTCTCGCTGGAGCCGCTGTTGTTGCGCGAGTGGTGGCGGTGTCCGTTGTGCAGACGGTGTAGGTGCAGGTGATCTTGCTGAGGCGGGTCCAGCAGCTGCTGCTGTTGCTGTTGTTGTTGCTGCTGCTGCTTCCGTTCCAGCTTGCGAAAGTCCGAGGGCCGGAGGGTGCCGTTCAAGCCGCCCTCATCGGAGCTTAGAGAGCCGCCGTTGTCCAGGTCAAAGGTGGTTGTCTTCTTGCCGGTGCGTCCCGTACGTCCTGCCTGCCAGCCGTCGCCGCCGGAGAAGATGTCTTCGATGCACTGGTCGGCGGGAAGCTCACCGGCTTGGCATGACCAGGAGGCTGCGAGGGCGCGGCGGTACATGTCCTGCACTTCGGAGGCATCTCTGGACTTGGCCATTGTAGGAAGCTCTGGAGAAATGATTAGTATTGGATGGGCCGCCAAGAAGTGCAGGGCTATTCAAGGCTAGGAAATAGGGGAAGACCTACGTCCAGCGTCATCTTGCTCGACTGATTCGCCAGCCATAATACCAGCAATGCCACCAAATACAGGCGCAGTCTTTAAAGGAGGCGCAGAGTAGTTCTTATCGCCATCAAGCTGCATCATCAAAATGCCGATTTTCAATGTGCTGTTGATTTTGCTCTCCTGCATCAGATATCGCCTCAAGATACCATCCTCGACGTCTGGGTCGTCCAGCACCGGCGCCCTCGTCGACATCGGGCTTTGGCTGGTGCCGCTGCTTCGCTTGCGCGAGTGACCACGGTCGAAGCTGCTACTCTCGCGGGTAAGGCCATCACTTTCCTCCACGTACTCGCTGAGGTTGAGCTTGACGAGACCGAGCGAGATCTTCTCCTCTCTACCGCTGCCCGGAAACTGTTGCAGGACCTCAAACTCGACGGGGCACTCCGTCAGGTTGTTGTTCTTGTCGATGCTAATCCGGATATGGCTGACGACCTTGGAGTAGTTGTACTCAACCTTGTGGTTGGAGATGGGGCATTGCGGTGTGCGGCCGCGATGCTCGGCGTGGATGGAGTGTGCCAGGTTCCATTTTACTATCGATGTCCCTGATACCAACGGGACGTTGTTCAAATCGAAGATCTGAAGGAGTTGTCAATGAGAGTTGTTCCTCGCCAGAATGCAGCAACTGCTGTGTCAGGAGGGGCTCGCACCTTTAGATGTAACTCAAACTTTGGCTGCATCAAGTGGCGTTAGCTCAAACCGGTTCGCTGAGTGGTCACCAACAACGGTCCTCCACTTTGGGGGATTGAGTTTCCCACGGCAGGATGGTGGGAGCGGAGAGGAGGCATTACCTTTCTGTTCTTATTGACTGTGGGCAGGAAGCCCCCGTTAGCCATGCTCTTGAGAGGACTCATTTTGAGCGAGTGATTCGCTCTCGCTCAGCGCAAGTGGTAAGTAATGACGGAGACAGAAGCAGAAGCAAAGTGAGGCGGGACTGAAAAGCCCCGGGCCCCAACAAGAGGTGCTTTCAAGGGAGAGACATGGGAATGATGAGGTTGTTGATTAAAGCGCAAAGGTGAATAGGATAGGTAGGGCTGGACGTGAAAAGAAAAGGCCACCAAGCTCTCTCTGGGGTTGTCTCAGTGAGATCTCAGCCTCATGTAAGG